AGGTTATAGGAGCAAAATGAGTTATTTTGTTGCTATAGTTAAATCACCTCCCCAAATGACATAAATTATGCCAGCAAAAAGTATAACCTGTTTCTGCACAGTGGGAGGGGGGTGTTGCCAGCATAGCTACATTGGTTAAGGACTATTTAGAAAAGCTGGACATGCACAAGTCCATGGGGCAGGATGCAATGCATCCAAGGGTGCTGAGGGAGTTGGCTGATGTGATTGCAGAGCCACTGGCCATCATCTTTGACAACTCATGGCGATCGGGGGAGGTCCTGGACGATTGGAAAAAGGCAAATATAGTGCCCATCTTTAAAAAAGGGAAAAAGGAGAATCCGGGGAATTACAGACCGGTCAGCCTCACCTCAGTTCCTGGAAAAATCATGGAGCAGATCCTCAAGGAATCCATTTTGAAGCACTTGGAGGAGAGGAAGGTGATCAGGAACAGTCAACATGGATTCACCAAGAGCAAGTCATTCCTGACCAACCTAATTGCCTTCTATGATGAGATAACTGGCTCTGTGGATATGGGGAAAGCAGTGGATGTGATATACCTTGACTTTAGCAAAGCTTTTGATACAGTCTCCCACGGTATTCTTGCCAGCAAGTTAAAGAAGTATGGATTGGATGGATGGACTATAGGTGGATAGAAAGCTGGCTAGATCATCGGGCTCAACGGGTAGTGATCAACAGTTCGATGTCTAGTTGGCAGCCGGTATCAAGCAGAGTGCCCCAGGGGTCGATCCTGGCACTGGTTTTGTTCAACATCTTCATTAATGATCTGGATGATGGGATGGATCGCACCCTCAGCAAGTTCATGGATGACACTAAGATGGGGGGAGAGGTAGGTACACTGGAGGGTAAGGATCGGGTTCAGAGTGACTTAGACAAATTGGAGGATTGGTTCAGAAGAAATCTGATGAGGTTCAACAAGGACAAGTGCAGAATCCTGCACTTAGGATGGAAGAATCCCAAGCATTGCTGGGGACCAAGTGGCTAAGTGGCATTTCGGCAGAAAAGGACCTGGGGATTACAGCGTATGAGAAGCTGGATATGAGTCAGCAGTGTGCCCTTGTTGCCAAGAAGACTAATGGCATATTGGGCTGCATTAGTAGGAGCACTGCCAGCAGATCAAGGGGAGTAATTATTCCCCTCTATTCGGCACTGGAGAGGCCACATCTGAAGTATTGCATACAGTTTTGGGCCCCCCACTACAGAAAGGTTGTGGACAAATTGGAAAGAGTCCAGCAGAGGGCAACAAAAATGATCAGGGGGCTGGAGCACATGACTTATGACGAGAGGCTGAGGGAACTGGGGTTATTTAGTCTGCAGAAGAGAAGAGTGAGGGGGGATTTGATAGCAGCCTTCAATTACCTGAAGGGTGGGTTCCCAAGAGACGGAACTAGGCTGTTCTCAGTGGTGGCAGATGACAGAACAAGAAGCAATGGTCTCAAGTTGCAGTGTGGGAGGTCTAGGTTGGATATTAGGAAACACTATTTCACTAGGAGGGTGGTGAAGCACTGGAATGGGTTACCTAGGGAGGTGGTGAAATTTCTATCCTTAGAGGTTTTTAAGGCCCCGCTTGACAAAGCCCTGGCTGGGATAATTTAGTTGGGGTTGGTCCTGCTTTGAGCAGGGGGTTGGACTAGATGACCTCCTGAGGTCTCTTACAACTCTAGTCTTCTATGATTCTATGGTTACAGGTGATTCCTTCCACACGCCTATCGCCTATGCCAGCAAAACGTGGTGTAGACCTGCCCCAGTAAAAGACAGTCCCTGCCTCAAAGAGCTTATAATATAAATAGATAAAAACAAAGAGGAGGGGTGAAAACACAGGCAAAGTGACTCAGGGTACAATCCGGCGGGTAGTAATCAATCTATCAGGGATCGATTTATCACATCTCATCTAGACGCGATAAATCGATCCCCGAACGCACTCCCTGTCGACTCCGGAACTCCACCAGAGCAAGAGGTGGTAGCGGAGTCGGCGGGGGAGCCGCGGCCGTCGATCACGCACCGTGAGGACCAGAGGTAAATCGATCTAAGATACGTCGACTTCAGCTACGCTATTCACATAGCTGAAATTGCGTATCTTAGATCGATCCCCCCCCCTCAGTGTAGACCAGCCCTCAGCAAAGCCAGGAATAGAATGCAGCTGCTCTGACACCTACTCCTGTGTCCTATTCACTGAACCATACTGCCACTCTCTGGTTCTGGAGCAGTTACAGTGAAACGTAGTAGAACCTAGCAACGTGCAATACAGATCTGGGGAATGCTATGAGCTTTATCAGAGCCTGCAAAATTTAAGCTTTAATTAAAAAACTGAGTTTATAGCCCTTAGAGTTGTTGAAACAAACCTTCCAATCATGAACCAAATGCTGCACAAAGCCTTTTTTAGACAGAGAGCCTGAAACACTAGGTATGAACCCCCCTTTATTGGTCTAGCTTCATATGGGCCTTACCTACACTTGTAAACCATGGAGTGTAGCTATACCGGTTTTAAAAATCAGGGCTTTGGAACTGTGCTCCGGCTCCACTCCAGCTCCAGGCAAAAACCTGCAGCTCCACTGCTCCGGAGCTGCTCCGTGCTCCAGCTCCAGGCTGCGCTCCAAAGCCCTGTTAAAAATGGTTTAAGTACTAGTACAAACCAAACTCTTTTCCACACCAGTTCAGACGAGTGCGATTCATACCTGGTGGAAGGTAACCAATTTTTCATCTGTGTTTAAAGAAGGTGCTAGAGATGATTCTGGGAATTACAGCCCAATAAGCCTCACTCAGGCATGAGGTAAAATGGTTAAACTAGAGATATAAGCCACTTGAGTATCCCAGGGAATAACCAGCATGGTTGCTGCAAAGGAAAATCATGTTTCATGAATCTCTTAGAATGGGCCAATGAAATAATAGGTCATAATTATGGAAAATCATGGGAGACGGGAAAGATTCCAGAAGACTGGAAAAGGGCAAATATAGTGCCCATCTATAAAAAGGGAAATAAAAACAACCCAGGAAACTACAGACCAGTTAGTTTAACTTCTGTGCCAGGGAAGATAATGGAGCAAGTAATTAAGGAAATCATCTGCAAACACTTGGAAGGTGGTAAGGTGATAGGGAATAGCCAGCATGAATTTGTAAAAGAACAAATCATGTCAAACCAATCTGATAGCTTTCTTTGATAGGATAACGAGCCTTGTGGATAAGGGAGAAGCTGTGGATGTGGTATACCTAGACTTTAGTAAGGCATTTGATACGGTCTCGCATGATATTATTATCGATAAACTAGGCAAATACAATTTAGATGGGGCTACTATAAGGTGGGTGCATAACTGGCTGGATAACCGTACTCAGAGAGTTGTTATTAATGGTTCCCAATCCTGCTGGAAAGGCATAACGAGTGGGGTTCCGCAGGGGTCTGTTTTGGGACCGGCTCTGTTCAATATCTTCATTAACGACTTAGATATTGGCATAGAAAGTACGCTTATTAAGTTTGCGGATGATACCAAACCGGGAGGGATTGCAACTGCTTTGGAAGACAGGGTCATAATTCAAAATGATCTGGACAAATTGGAGAAATGGTCTGAGTTAAACAGGATGAAGTTTAACAAAGACAAATGCGAAGTGCTCCACTTAGGAAGAAAAAATCAGTTTCACACATACAGAATGGGAAGAGACTGTCTAGGAAGGAGTACGGCAGAAAGGGATCTAGGGGTTATAGTGGACCACAAGCTAAATATGAGTCAACAGTGTGATGCTGTTGCAAAAAAAGCAAACGTGATTCAGGGATGTATTAACAGGTGTGTTGTGAGCAAGACACGAGAAGTCATTCTTCCGCTCTACTCTGCTCTGGTTAGGCCTCAGCTGGAGTATTGTGTCCAGTTCTGGGCACTGCATTTCAAGAAAGATGTGGAGAAATTGGAAAGGGTCCAGAGAAGAGCAACAAGAATGATTAAAGGTCTTGAGAACATGACCTATGAAGGAAGGCTGAAAGAATTGGGTTTGTTTAGTTTGGAAAAGAGAAGACTGAGAGGGGACATGATAGCAGTTTTCAGGTATTTAAAAGGGTGTCATAAGGAGGAGGGAGAAAACTTGTTCACCTTAGCCTCTAAGGATAGAACAAGAAGCAATGGGCTTAAACTGCAGCAAGGGAGGTCTAGGTTGGACATTAGGAAAAAGTTCCTAACTGTCAGGATGGTTAAACACTGGAATAAACTGCCTAGGGAGGTTGTGGAATCTCCATCTCTGGAGATATTTAAGAGTAGGTTAGATAAATGTCTATCAGGGATGGTCTAGACAGTATTTGGTCCTGCCATGCGGGCAAGGGACTGGACTCGATGACCTCTCGAGGTCCCTTCCAGTCCTAGAATCTATGAATCTATAAAGGAGAACTGGTTGATCGTTTATTGGACTTTCAAAAAGCTCTTGGCAAAAGCTCCATAAAAGGACATTAAAAAATCTAAGTGATCATCGGTTGGGAGGTAAAGAGCCACTATGGATTAAAAACGGGCTAAGACTCCAAAAAAAAAAAAAAAAAGATAGAAAAATAATAAATTTTCATGATGGCCAAAGGTTAACTAGAAGGGCCCTATGGTTCCATGCTGTGACTGGTGCAATTTGCTGGAATCCTGACCTTTTTCGGTAACTCATCTTTATCCACCCAGACACCTCCTTTTTGCTGGCACTTCGCTGAGACTTACATGCTGACAAGTCCCTCCTCTCTTGTGTTTCCCTTAATTATTTTCCAGTATCCCTGAGCCACAGCTTCTCTTATTTCCTCTGTCCCTTCTCCCACGCCTGAGCTGCTGGCTAAGAATGTCAGTAAAATTTACCAGGCAGAAATGACAACAGAGTAAAACAAGAATATCGTTTACATGTAGTCAAACATCATATAATAGAAGTGCAGAGTTTTATCAAATGGCCATTGGAAACTTGCTCAGAAATTTTAATATAGAATGCCAGTATTTGTTTACACTTCTGGCTTGTCAGTGTTACAGGCTCAAAGAAGACATTTCTGTTTTTCATATTCATAAGCCATTGGCTGTAGTGAAGAGCTATACAGTTATTGAGAATGTTGAAGGTTTGTTTCCACTACCTCTCTTCCTCACATGGAATTTCAGCAGAACGTTACAGAACGTTCTTGGTTTCCTGATAGCAGTACATTTCGCAATCAAAGCTCTGTAAACAGTGGTGGGTTAAAAGAAAGGCAGTGTACTACGTGCTCCATAAGCAGTCACATTTAGAAGACACTGAATGCCGCTCTACAAGGAGATGTACCCTGCAGTCCGTTGTGATGCGAAAATTCTGGATTGCTTCTTTTGTCAGATTTGTGCCACCCGTAACATCAAGTTCTCGCAAACTCTCCATTTTAGCCAAGCTCAACAAGATATTGTCAGTCAAAACAAAACCACTGGGGATGAAAAACAGATTGTACTTAGGGTTTCAGAGGGAGTTACAAACAGAGAGACATCTGAAATACAGAGCAAAAGAACAGTTTCTATATTGGCGACTTAAAGATCCAGAATCTCCCACTAGTGATGGCAGAGATGTGTGTTCATAGAATCAGAGAGATTAGAGGTGGTCTGGGTGGCCTAACAGGTCTCTTCCACATCCCTGTCAATGCACAAGCATGCCAGCAATGAGCATTGCCAGGGACAAAGGATTAGTAATGTAACTAAGGGCTGGTCTATACTTAGCCGCTAGTTCGGCGGCTGGAAATTGAACTTCCTGGTTCGATTTATCGCGTCTGGTCTGGACGCGATAAATCAAACCAGGAAGTGCTTGCCGTCGACTGCGGTACTCCAGCTCAACGAGAGGAGTACCACGGAGTCGACGGGGGAGCCTGCCTGCCGCGTGTGGACCGCGTCTGAACCACGATAAGTTCGAAGTAAGGTATGTCGACTTCAGCTACGTTATTCACGTAGCTGAAGTTGCGTACCTTACTTCGACTTGGGGGGTTAGTGTAGACCAGGCCTAATTGTAAAGAACTTTTTATCCCAGAGGACTGCCCTATGGAGTACGGATGGGCAAAGGGAATTATATCTCTTCTCCAGAGCACGATCAGGGCATTTTGGCCAGCTCACTGCTACTCAAAGATCAGATCCTCCCCAATTGCTAGATGAGCTACCAGGCCCCCCAACTTGGGAGAAAGGAAAAACTCCCTGCCTGCCTCGGATGGAGGAGTGAAAATGGCAGCCTACCAGGCCAGGATGTCACTATTTGGAAACTAGTGAGTTAAAAAGACTTCCTTGGGGGGAAGGAATATTGAGGGACCAGATGTACTAGTCTCCTGCCAGAGACTATGGCTCTGCCCTTAGTACAGCTCCTCACTTCCCTGCTGGGTTCTTCAGTTTTTGGCTACCCAGCGTCATTGCACAGTTGCAAGTGCTGGCATTGTACAACCATCACCATGTCTTCAAGTCTGGCATCCTTCTATGCTCTTTGGGAGTCAACTAACGAGCTCACTAGCCATCTCATGTGGGGGTCAACAAGGTCAACTCATCTCCTGCTCATGTCTACCTGTATATTCAGAGGATAAGGAAATGAGGGCAAGTTTCCCATGCCCACAATTCTTCAGCACTTGTGAGAGCAGAAACACTTGCTCCTGCTACTGACTACCCAATTGCCTATTAGCTTTACCAGCATGGTAAGGGAGATATCTCCCCTGCCCTTCCTTTCCTCTCCCCTGAATAAACTGGGCTGAATCTGATGGTCTGGAAGCAAGGGCTTGTTCACATGGTAAATGGAACCAAAATACTGATTGCGGCTACATTTCACATCTGTAATTATTGCAGTTCAAGCCTGTGTATTGATACTCTTATTTCTGAATAACTCTTATTTCTGAATAACTTGATTTCTTTTTTACTGAATTATTTCAAAATAGGGCATTTATTCACAAACAGACTTGAACTGAAATAGCCAGAGGTGTGAATTACAACCGATTTAGTTATTTCACTTCCATTAACTGGAACTCCCAGGAGACACAAAACAGGGTAAATAAAGAACCCCCACCTTCTTAATCGTTTTGTGCTGCCTCTTTATTTAGCTTTAAAGGGGTGTTAACTACAGCCATGTCTACACACAGACGTGCACCAGTTTATCTAAAAATTGGTTTAAAAACCTCACACTTTTAGTTAAACCAGTGCAGCTTTTAACATACAAGTCCTAATGTAGTAAGTTTCTTTCATTCTTCAACATCGGTAGCACATTGTTTGGTCATACCTAAGGCAGAGTCTAGTCAGCAGTGGAAAGAGGTGGGGAAATTGTTTCAGAGTCTTTTCATCAAATCCATATGAGAGGGTTAGATCCATTTCTCTTAGCTTCCAGGATTTGTCAGACAAACAGCTGAGAGCAGAGTTTGAGAGCTTGGTTCCAATCACACTTAGTTTAACAAGGCTGGAAGGAATGTTATCAACAAACATATCCAAATTGGAGATCCCTTTAAAAGCAGACAGAGAGGACAAAATATGACATTTATGACTCTTTTCTTGACAATATTTTTCAAAGTAAGTATCAGGGTTTTTTTGTTTTTTTTTAAAGTAAACTTTATCTTTACTTTTTTTAATAGATACCAAAGTTCTGTTTTTCATCCACTAATCAGCAAGAATGAGACAGTGCAAAAGCATGAAAGATACAAATAAAACCAATGTTTGTGTTACATTAGCACCTAGAGGCCCAACTGAAATCATGGCTCCATCGTGCTAGGTGCAGTACACACATATAGACTATGTCTACACGGTAAGTCGACTTATGCTATGCAACTCCAGCTACATGAATAATGTAGCTGGAGTCGACATACCTTAGATGGAGTTACCGCGGGGTCTACACTGCAGGGGGTCGACGGGAGAACCTCTCCCGTCGACTTACCTTATTCTTCTCGTCGGGGGTAGAGTTCAGAGGTCAACTGGAGAACGATCTGCTGTCGATTTGGCGGGTCTTCACTAGACCTGCTAAATCGACCGCTGGTGGATCGATCTCAGAGCGTCGATCCCGGCTGTAGTGTAGATATAGCCTTAGTGACATACTGTCCCTGCCCAAACAGCTTACAATCTAAATAGACAAGACAGACAACGGAAGTATCACCATCCCCATTTCATAGAGGTGGAAGTAAAGACTGGGGAGAGTAAGTGACTTTCCCAAGGTCACAGAGGAAATCCATGGCAGAGCCAGGAGCTGAATTTGGATCTCCTGAGTACCATCTAGTGCCTTAACCACAAAGGCTCTCTAGGAAGACTACATTTTCAAAACCTGCATTTTCAAGTACTTAGCTTAATAACATAGTATCTTTTGCTCCCCTAATAAAAATAAAAACTTCCAGTCCTGTGACTTAGGACTTGTCTAAACTTCATATGCTACAACCATAGGCGCCGACTCTGTGGGTGTTCCAGCCCTGGGACAGAGCGGGGGCGGGAAGAGGCGGGGTGGAGGTGGGGGCTTGGGAGAAGGGGGCGGGTGGAGGTGGGGCTGGGGGCGGAGGGGTTGAGCACCCCTGGGGCCCAGAGGAAGCCGGCGCCTATGGCTACAGCAGCACAACTGTGCAGCTGTAGCACTTCAGTGTAGACACTAACTATAGTGGCAGGAGGGATTCTTCCATCGCTGTAGTTAACCCACCTCCCCGAGTCAGTAGTTAGGTCCATGGAAGAATTCCTCCCATTGACCTAGTGCTGTCTACACCAGGGTTAGGTTGGCATAGCTACATCTCTCAGGGGTATGGATTTTTCACACCCCTGAGTTTTCAGTATAGGCCAGCCCTTATAGAGAGGATTAGGACTTCATAGGGGTTATCACAGGTGCAGCTGCATCAGTGGCTGGTTCCATGGCTGAAATGGGGACAAATCCCAAGTGTAGATAAGCAGTAGTGGGGATCTGGAAACTGGACTGGGAAGGAAACAAGGAGGACATTAAAAAGCAACAGAGGGTCCTGTGGCACCTTTAAGAGCCACAAGGCAGCAGCTTCATTAAATAGTAGATATCTAGACCGATTTTTCAGTCGGGTTTGAATGAACACAGTCAAGCCAATCAGATTCTGAATTGGGGAACTGATTTTTTCAGAGACAATATTAAGATATATCAGCCAATAGAAACATCCATAAAAATAAGCTCTCTGCTGTCTTGCCAGTCACCATTTAACAGAAGATGAAACTACCACAAACCTTCCTAAGCCTGCACAGAACAAAGCCCACAAACACGTCAACCTTAAAAACAACTTACATAGAAGATTTAATTCTGTCAAGTTTGGTAGGTTCTTCAGCACTTGTCCAAAGGCATCCACTGAGTGTAACAAAAAGTCCTTGATGTAACAAACAGTCAGAGTGTGGATGGTGGAGAGCTGATCCAGGAAACGCTCTGAAAGAAGGTTATAACCAGTTTGCCTCAAGGCCAGAGTGTGAAGCTGAAGTTTTGGAACAGGAGGCGACTCTAAACATAGTGGATGATTGAAAAGGTGGGGGGAAGTACTTATTTGACATCCCAGAGATATTTGTTTTCCAATATTAAAGCACAAGTTATGTATAAGTCTTTACATTAGGTTCATACTTATGGTAGCACATAGTGAATATAACAGGAAAGACGGGGGGCGGGGGAATCCCCACACTTTGAAGAAATTAGGTTGCAGTTAAGCCAAATTATTAACCAAACTGGAAGGTATCGGACAATGAGTTATCTAGAAAGTTTGAACAATAAACAAACCAATCATTGGCTAGTAGAAGGGGTCTGAAAAAAGGTCAGATATGGAAATTTCATAAAGGGTCCATCTAAAATTATTTTAAAATTCCTAAACTAAGGAACAAATTCAGCTGACGATCCCCAGAGAACTTTCTCTGTGCTCTCCGAATATGTGCTGTAAGGTTGGTTAAGATACACAGGATTTTTCATACAAAACAAAGAGGTTGAATCTCTGGTTTAAGTGTAAAACTGAAGTATATTATAAAAATGCTACAATACTTAAATGTGTGCATCAAGATTTAAAAAAAATTACTAGTGATTTGGGAGAGACAAGGTGGGCAGGGTAATTTTTTGGGGGTCACTTTTAATGGTCCCTGATTTTGAGGGCAAGTGCTCAGCTCTTTCGGAAAATCAGGACCCATTAAAGGTGTCTCCATTTGGACATTGGAAAACAGACACACTTAAAATCAAATCACTTTTGAAAGTCTTGGCCAAGAACTATATCCTCCTTTTAGCTATTTATATATTCAGTTTAAAATACTCCACAAGCTTTAGGAAACATGTTTATGACATATCAAAACAGTAATGCAATGGAAATCTGAACCTAGTCCACTAAAGCAAGGGGATATAGTTAAGAATAAATCTTCACTACCAACACACTCTGATATACCCAGCATGTAATCCTTTGAGCAACAATGGACACTTAGGCCCCAATCCTGCCAGTTCTAATGCACATACTTGTTTCACCCTGAGTTGTCCTATTGATTTCTCGTGGTAGCAAAGTTAAACACGTGCATCAGAGCTGGCAGGACTGGTGCCATAATTCTGAATATAGTGTATATAAATATAGCCTATAGAAACAACACTCACCTTCTGATGAGTAAGGGATGGGATGTCTATCTGGCAAACTGAGGCATAACAAAAAATGCTCCTTACTCAGGATATAAGAAAGTGACAGTTCTCTGAGTTTTGGTAAATGGAATAAAACATACTCTAGTGCTTTCTCAGGAAGAGCCTTTTGCACAGTATGCAATGAGAGCGTATGTAGGTTTTGTAAGCAAGCAATTCTGATCAATTCACTGCCACTTAAGAAGGTTATGCCGCACAACAACAAGTGGGTAAGGTGTTGAAAGTGCACAACTTCCCGGATTACACTTCTCTCAGACAACCTAGAGCATGTTTTCAAGTGAAGTTTCTGTAGATCTGTGAGCAGCTGTAACCCTTGCAGGATTTCCTCGCTCCAGAGGGAATCCACAGTTACATCTAGCAGACCAGGCATGAACCTCAGCAGCTTTTGCCATTGCTTAAGCCCAATTTCTTTCACTTCTACAGAAGTGATCTTTCTTTTCCGAAGCACGTCCCAGAACTCGGCATTGAAAGCGCTTATGCGTCGGAGGACAATGGTACTCTTTCGCCACACAACAGGCTGATCAACCAGATCCTTGAAGAGACTGCACGTAGCACGGACTTTGGATTTTTCCGCAGGAGGAAGGTACATGATTATCTCAGTCAGCATTTCTTGCGGTAACTGCAGCAAGTGAGTGGCTCTCATTATCCCTGTATTACTGGCTGGCATACTTTTCTCCTGCATTCTTCCGCTCTCTTTAAAAAAAAGACAACAATTAGTTACATAGCCAAGAAAAGTATTATGTAAATGTAAGCCCTGTGGCCCAAAGCCTACAAGAGAAGGGAGTTGACTGAATGAGGTAGCATGACTGCCACCTACATTTATACCACATATTAACATGTACCATGAAGTACATAAAGGTGTGCATGAACTACAGGGTGTTTTGTAGAGATACTGTAGATACCATACACGTGTTACAATAAAAGAATGTTAAGGTTGCAAGGTCAAGTACAGGAAAGTTAGGAAGTGGCAGAATTAAGGTTGTCTGTGCATAATGATACAGTAGGGCATTGAATACTGTGTTAAAAATTCAAGCTGTCACTTGAAGTATAAGGGTTTTCTGGTTTTGCTTGCAGGCTTGGGGGTTCTGTACGGAAGCGTGTGACCTGGATTTTCAGCAGTCAGTCTGTGAAGAGTCAGCCTAGAGCAAAGTGGATTAAGTTGTGCTTCTCTGCCTTGGGGAGCAACCTGCTTTGTCTTGCTCTGATTTTGATTCTTGTGTGTTAGGGTTCTGGAGTCTAAGGCCTGGTCTACACTAGGCTTTTATGTCGACTTTAGCGCCGTTATATCGAATTAACCCTGCACCCGTCCACACCAGGAAGCCATTTAGTTCGACATAAAGCTCTCTTTAAATCGATTTCTGTAATCCTCCCCAACGAGAGGAGTAGCGCTAAATTCGACATGGCCATATCGAATTAGGCTAGGTGTGGATGGAAATCGACGGTAATAGCTCCGGGAGCTATCCCACAGTGCACCACACTGTTGACGCTCTGGACAGCAGTCTGAGCTTGGATGCTCTGACCAGCCACACAGGAAAAGCCCCGGGAAAATTTGAATTCCTTTTCCTGTCTGGGCAGTTTGAATCTCAGTTCCTGTTTGGACATCGAGGTGAGCTCAGCAGCAGTGGCAACGATGCAGAGCTCTCCAGCAGAGATGGCCGTGCAATCTAATAGAAAGAGGGCCCCAGCATGGACTGATCGGGAAGTCTTGGATCTCATCGCAGTGTGGAGCGATGAGTCCGTGCTTTCAGAGCTGCGCTCCAAAAGAAGGAATGCTAAGATCTACGAGAAGATCTCCAAAGCCATGGCAGAGAGAGGCTACAGCCGGGATGCAACGCAGTGCCGCGTGAAAATCAAGGAGCTGAGACAAGGCTACCAGAAGACCAAAGAGGCAAACGGACGCTCCGGATCCCAGCCCCACAGATCCCGTTTCTACGAGGCACTGCATTCCATCCTTGCTGCGGCCGCCACCACTACCCCACCACTGACCGTGGACTCTGAGGATGGGATATTGTCCACGGCCGGTTCCTCGGACATGTTAGCGTACGGGGAAGATGAGGAAGGAGATGAGGAGGACGAGGCAGTCGACAGCGCTGGCACCGCTGATTTCCCCGACAGCCAGGAGCTCTTCATCACCCTTACAGAGATCCCCTACCAACCCTCCCCAGCATGTAACCTGGACACAGATTCAGGCGAAGGATCAAGCGGTAAGTGCTTTAAACATATTAACCTTTATTTTTTACAAAACTTGAATATTAATACTAAGAACAATCTGTGAATCATGATTTCTTCCCCCTGGGCGCTTAAGTAATCAGTAACAACTATTTAAAAAAAAATCAAACAGTGTCCGGTTGTGCATGATTGTGCTGCCCAAGCTGCTCCACTCTTTAGTGCCTGCTACTGCAGCTATATTAGAATCCTGTCTATATGTCCGGGGATAGAGCAGTAGTCCTCCACGGACATCTCCACAAAGCTCTGCTGCAGGTAATGGGATAGCCTGTTCATCAGGTTCCTGGGGAGAGCGGCTTTACTTGGTCCTCCGAAGTAGGAGACGTTCCCGCGCCAGGAGACAAGCAGGTACTCCGGTATCATTGCCTTGCATAGCATGGCGGCAAAGGGCCCCGGTCTCTGCAGGCTTTCTCGAAGCATCCGTTGGATCTCGGTGTCCGGGATCCTCATGAGAGTTATGTCGCTCATGATGACCTGCTTTGAATTAGGTAGGGGACTGTTAGTATTGGGACTGCTTGCAACAAGTTCCTTTACAGAACTGTGACCGCTGGTTTACAGCCACGCGGTGGGGGCGGGAGAGGGGCAGCATACAGGGATCTTTCCCTGGCTCATCCGCGAGGGGGTGGGACAGGGCCAGAGTTCCTGCTTGGCCGATTGCTGGCAGCACAGACTGGCAGTGCTTTCAATGTGAAAGGAGGCCAGTGGTACTCCTACAGTTTTAAGCAGCCACAAGTCTACGGCTTACCATGTTTGCCTGCTACAGAGAGTACCGTGTCCTGCCCCGCTTCCCAGATCGGCAGTGCAAAAGCCCAGGCACTGAAGGCGAGGTTCGAAAATTCGACCTTGTCCTGAGTGCGCATGTGATAGGTGTGGTTCATGGTCTTGTTCACAGAGAAAAACTATGTTCTTGATTCACAACCACATTTATCTTTCGGAGGAATTCACTGCCTTTTCCTCATTCCCACAGCCACATCTGCAACTGTCTCCCAACCCAGCTTGGCATCACACTCCCAGAGGCTAGCGCACATTAGGCGGAGAAAGAAGAAGACGCGAGAGGACATGTTCTCAGAACTAATGGGCTGCTCCTGAGCCCAGGCAGCACAGCAGAACCAGTGGAGGGAGAATTTGTCACAAATGCACTGGACACACATGGAACGTGAGGAGAGGTGGCGGGCAGGAAGACCAGCAGGCGACTCAAACGCTGCTTGGACTTCTGAGGGAGCAAACGGACACGCTCCGGCGCCTTGTTGATGTTCTGCAGGAACGGAGGCAGGAGGACAGAGCCCCGCTGCAGTCTATCGGGAACCGCAGTCCCCCGCCACCAAGTCCCATACCCCCCTCTCCCAAAGTCCAAAGAAGGAGGGGTGGCAGAGTCCGTGAAAACTCTCACTCCACCCCTGCAGACTGCTCAAGCACCAGAAGGCTGTCATTCCCCAAAATTTGAAAAGTCCTTTCCTGCCCGCCTCACCCAAGCCCCCGTCCAACTTTCACCCCCCAGTTTCCTGTCTGGTTGTTAATAAAAAATATGTTTCTGTTCGTTACTGTTTCAGTCAGGTTCTTTTGAGGGAGAGTCTGTCTGGAGGGGGGGAAGGGGATTGGTAATTGGACAGGACAGTCACCTTTAGCAGAGTACAGAGGCGGGGGCAGGTCCAGCATCAGGACACATACACAGTGCA